AAATTCGGTTAAATTTGAGTCGTGTTTGTGATCCATATCCGAATATACTAGCGGACAAAAGGCCAAAATAAGGCTAACATGATTTATAAAAACCCAAATGGCTGCCTTTGGAAATGATAGTGTGGTCAGACCGTGCACGTGAAAAAAGGACAGCTGCAGTTGAACCCAAACCAAGTTCCTCATGTTTTGTTCACACCATCTAGGGTCAAGTCTACTATTGTATAGTATATTTTAGTTTTGAGATTATCCATTTGGATAATTGAGCAATAAATATATGATTATATGAGCAACAAGGACACTTTTTTGTTTTTTTTATTATTATTATCCCATTAATACATTTTTAAAAAAGTAGATATGTGTTATAAATATGGAGAAAAAGATAAAAGAACTGATTACGAAAATGCAGGAACGAAATACGACACTTGTACTAATTTTTCATCTTTTCTTGTTGTTTCGGCTACAATTTGATTGACTTTTAATTTATAGACAAACTTGCCGACACCATCCGTTACCACTTTCAATCTTCACGTCAAATGCATTCTTGATATTGATTATTTGTAATAATTGGTTACTATCACTGTTCTAAAATTCGCTAGGCGCTTGACCAGCGCCTAGCGCTGCCCAAAAATCAATATTAAATATTTTATTTTTTATTTATTTTAACTAACTACAAAATAAAATTATCTCAACTTATAATAAATTCACACACCAAAGTTCAAATAATAATATTAATATATATTAAAAAAAACATGAGAACAAAATAATGTAATTAGTATTTAAAAAAATAAAAAAAATAAAAAAAAAATTAAAAAATTGCCGCCGAGCCCGCCTAGGAGCGCCTAGGGCCGCCTAGCCGCCTGGCCGATTTGTACAAATCGGAGGCGCCCGGGCACCGCCTAGCGCCTAGGCGTCACCTAGGCGGCCGCCTAGGCCGATTTTTAGAACAGTGGTTACTATTATTGAATGTGGTAAGTTCACGTGATTTCAAATTCCTCATGGGAAAAATCTTAGATATGGAAAAAAGTGTACAATTGCACATGTTCCCCTCGAGTTATCATCTATGTAAATTTCAAAGAAGCCTCATTCCAATGCTGTTGACGTGCTTTCGAAATGTGGTAGTCAGAAGTGCCTTTGCGAGTAAATTTATTGCATTATCGCTTGATCGAATGTATTGAATTTGATTTGTTTATTATTTTCAAGCTCTTTAGTGTATGAAAATAATTTTGGCAGGATATGTTTAGTTCAGTCACTCTTAATCCATCCTTCTTAGATTTAGACAACACATGTTGCATTATATTTGATAATCACCGTTGAATCTTTGTTATTTAATAATCTACTAGCTTACTAGCTTGTTGAATGTGTGGAGTCATATTTTTTAGCTCAGATGTATTACCTACTTGCTTCATGAAGTGCAATGATTTCAGCATGGTGTAAAGATGTAGCACTCAGTTTTTGTTTTCTAAAGCGCCAAGAAAACGCAGTTTCGCCAATTGTGAAAATGTAACCAGTTTGAGATCTTGCATTACTGTGTGGGTCTGATAAATAACTTGCATCTACAATATCAATAATTTCATATTTTTTGTTATTTGCGTAAAATAATCCCAAATAGATTGTCCCATGAAGATAACGAAATATGTTTGATTACATTCCATTTCTTCTAGTTGGTGACGAGTTTTATGTTGCTAATAGGTTAGTGGCGAAAGATATATCTGGCCTGGTGCAATTAGTAAGATATATAAGAATTATTTATTCATTTTCTTCACATGATCAAAATGGATGCTTTTCCACATCTAATGTTCGATTAACCACCGAGATACTAAGAGGATTAATCTTGTCCATATTAAAGTGTTTCAGTTCCCTTTTAATTTAATTAGATTGATGGATAAATATTTCATTTTTTACTCGTTTTATTTGTAAGTTAAGACAATATTAGTTTTCTTAAGATCATTCATTTCAAATTATCTTTTTAGTAAACTTTTCGAATTTCATTTGGTGTCTCAATAATATTAAAATTGCTAACATCAACAACAATTATTACAATTCCATCGTATTTTCATTTTATAAAGATGCACGTACATATTTGATTATTCACGTACGTATCTTTTTTTCAACAAATGTTTAAAGAATTATACCACATACGCACTGACTGTTTCAAGCCATACATGACCTTTAGAGTTTTATTGAACATAGCACTTGAGGTTTTTATTTTAGTGCTTTGAGCAATGTGATTCCGTATTGAACTTTCATATAAACGTCGGAGTCTAATGATCCATACAAGTAAGCAGTCACAAAATCCATGGGGCACATTTTGAGATTTTCATGAAAGTAATTGCATCCATCACCCATAACAGGTGAATATGTTTCTTCATAATCGATCTCAGCTCTTTGGAAAACCCATATGTACAACAAGACGAGCCTTAGATCTTATAATATCATTTTTCAGATTTCTTTTTCTAATAAATACCCTTTTGTATTAGGTAAATTTTATACTTTTAGGTGAACAACAATAAGACCAAAAATATTTCGTTTATTAATTGAATCCAACTGAGTTTGTATGGCTCATTTTCATTTGTACCAATCATGTCTTTCTTCAATTGGTTCAAGATTTTCAACTTTAATATCTATTTCTTGTGATACCATATATGCAAATGTATCATAAATATCCATGGTTTTGTCTTGTTTACAAAATATCTAGTAGAATGGTGATTATAAGTGATAGGTCG